TGTTTGAAAACATGACATTTACTGGGATATTCACAAAAATGTTTACTAGAAATGACTGGATATCTCCATCACACCATCTTTTTCACCATTTACAAAATTGACAATTGGTTTGGTGATAGACAATTTTTGACACATTTCAGATTCCAAACTTATCACCTTTTATGATTTGAATCAGCAAAATTTTCATTTTGTGTTCTAAATGATTAAGACCGTTCTTTTAATATTATCATACAAATCCAATCGTTAACTTCTATGTTGTTTTGGCTTAAAATAGTTGAAAGGAGGTCATTTACATTTCAAATTTTCACTCCCTTCTAACCACCTTATACTCATGTATCATTTTATAAATACGTTAACACTCACATAACTCTTTACGAATTAACATGATAAAATCATGTTAAAACAATAACAAGATTCACACCAAAGCCACATCAAATCATTCATTCTCCTAATTAAATCAGAAGCGTCACTTTTTTTTTCTCACAAAATATCTTTCGACTAATCGCAATTCACCCCCAAATCTAACTAACCTTCAAGATCCAATGAGCTTAGGACATGGATGATGCATGGAGCGATCAAGAACGTTGTATTTACCAAAGAAGCAGAATATGAAAATATGAAATTCATTTCTAGGTGAGTCGGTCAACAAAGAAGGATATTATAAGAGCTACTGAACAAAAAAATGGATAATAGAAACCAAAAATGGAATCCATGACTTTGAACAATGGATAAAAAATATGAGTGTAAGACACGGGTAAAAAATATGAGTGTAAAAAAAAATATGAGAGTAAGACAGGGGTTATAAAGTTTGATGTTTTGGATATTGTAGTTAAAATGGAGTAAAAACGTAGGTTGATGGAGAGAAAACAAAACTCTTGTATGACTTTCCATTATTTTAGTTTAAAATTTTTGAATATAAGTAATTTTGTATGTATGATCATATTTAATGATCATTTCTACTAATGAAATGTATATACATTTTTAAGGTTTCATTTCAGACTTATTCGTTCGATAAGTGGGTGTTTTTTTATTTTTTTTGAAACAAAAAATATCATTAAAGGCCGACAATTAGCATGTGACTAAATCGCGCCAAAAAATAGCAAAGAAGTGTTAAACAGTACAGAAGTGTTAAACAAAAAAAAAGAAGCAAAACAGTTACAAGGATAAATGAGTGAAAGGTGAGCAAATTCATTTTGCCTAGTCACCACAACCATTTTTACTCATATGTGTTGTAACATCCTGTTTTTTTTTGTCATTTTTTTCAGGTTCGTGGGCCGAAAGTCAACTGTGTAAAGGCTTTGGGCCTTAAGGAGGTAATGCTTAGACCTTTGGATGGAGGCGATGATGGATGCAAGATCTTAACATTTAAATTGTGGATTGGATTGAAGGGTAGAAAAAAAAAAAAAAAAAAAGTCACGGGTCAGGGTCTTGCATGAAATATGGATTTTCGTTCAAGAAGTTTTTAGTCTAAGATATCTAGAAATATTGTGGGGCTCTTCAATACATGTCCATGGATATAAAGATTGTCGAAAATGGAGTTGGAACAATGAAGTTATGACTGTTAGAAGTTAGCAAGGTTTTGGGTTAAGTCGAGTACACTGGATGTACGGAGTGTACGTTGGGCGTACTAAGTAAGGCTAATTGCGAAGGATCAACCTGATACGCTTGCTGCTGGGCATACGCGATCAGAACCCAAACCCTAATTTCGGGGTTTTGAGCACTATTTAAGCTCCTTAACTCCCCAAAACCCTTATCATTCTCGACCTCCACCTCTCCAATGTCCTCTCTTGAAACCCTAACCCTAGTTTGAGCCTTGCGAGCTAAAGAAGGTGTTTTTGAGTTCTTTGGAGTGTTCTTGGTGCATCTTGGAGAAGAAGGAGCTTATTGGAAAAGTGTTAAATGTTGGAACCGGTCCTCGAAAAATAGTAACATACGGTTCAGGTTTTTGCCAGTTCTACCGGTTTTTGCCAGTTCTACCGGTTTTAGTTCCTACTGGTTCCTGGTTCCAAAAATTCACAAAAATATCATCCTGGTCCCGACCCGATCAACTCCATGGGGTTCCGATTGTGGTACCGGTTCCGGTCGGTTCCCTGGTCCATATGCTCATCCCTAGATTTTTATGATTTATTTTTGCATGTATTATGTGCCTACTTGATCATTGATTGTTTATATGTCGACATATAGTGGTAGTGAGTTGAGGAGGTCCTATTTGTGCTATAGACCAAGATACCAGGTGCGGGTTGGCTGTAAGTCGTAGGCACAAAGGCTCGGGAATAGTGGTTGTGTTGAGGCGGTATGCCAGCAAACCCTAGTATTCCAGCCCGATGGCTGATTTGACCCGTTGCATGTTAGCATTCCATTCTGAGGACTGATTGGGCCTGGGCATTCTAATCCAATGATTATGGGTCATTATGTATGCTTGTATGTTTATCGTATATGGTATTTTGGGGGAACTCACTAAGCTTTGTGTTTACGCAGTTGTTTATGTTTTTTAGGTTTTATCGGTGATCGTGGGAAGGCAAAGGCGAGACTATACACACTCATCAGCAGAATGAAGATCCTGTGTTTCTTATATTACTCTGATTTTCAATAAATGTATTTTGGAATAAACGATTTTCTTAATAATGGATTTATAATTGGGAAGTTTTTCCGTAATAAAATGAAATTTTTTTTGCTGTGAAAAAGGGACGTTACATGTGCACCATGAGTATGAGCTAGCAATAATGGCATCTACTATCTTTGTTGGAGAGACCCGAATATTCTTGAAGGCCCACTCATTTCTGGCGTTCCAGATGCTCCAGATCATACAGTAAAAGACAGTACTGCAAATTGCTTCCTTTGTTTGACGGTTGTGCCATCCTTCACGAGTCAAGGAATTCCATGACACTCGAACACCTTCTATTTCCCAATCAAAACCATTTGAAATTCCAAGAGTGTACAGTCTGGCAAACTCGCACCGAATAAAAAGATGATTCACTTATTCAACTTCTTTGTTGCAGAAATGGAACATCTGATCAGGAATTTTTATTCATCTCGCCATTAGGGTGGTGGTTGTGCGAAATAAATCAACCCAAATTTTCACATTAGCCTGAGTTAAAAAAAAAACAGAACAAAAACAAACATTCTCATATGTATAATTTTGAAAACACAAAATGTCTTAATGGGATGTATTCCATATATATTATTTGTTCAAATCCCTACGATGTATTGTATCCTACTTGAGGTGGAGAAGTATAAGCTACAAAGAATACATGGATTATAAGTATGGAAACGTACATATAGTTAGTTGCCTTTGACAGTCTCCAAAAGGGATAATATGAAGGATAAATTGTAGGATGTAACATGAACATTTACCATATTAGTATATGTGTTCAAGGTACAATAACTTCAAATTATTTTTATGTATTAATATTTAAATGAAAATCTGTTGGTAAATGTTCCTCATTGTATGTCTTTATTGATTTAGATATGTGAGACGTATATCAACTAAACCCTAGTTGTGTGTGAAACATTCTTATGCTAAACGAAATCATACTCCCAACTATTGTTCTCTATTTGCTTTCGATTTGTGATCGTCTTCCATTCCCATTCTTAACTTTTTAGCTTGCCTTATGTTTGTGTTAAGATCTATATAATATCATCAAAAACTATGATCATTTAGTTAGTGGTTTCTATTTGGGTTAATGTCATAAAAACCCTCAAATTTACAGGGTTTTGTTGGTTTTGCCCAAAGTTGAATTTTATGTCCGTTTTTACCCTAACATTTTCGAAAAAATGTTCGGTTTTACCCTTTACCGGTAATAACAAGTTTTTCAGGTTACCATTATATTAAATTCGCAAAAAAACCCTTAAGTTTACCCTTTTTTGCGTTTTTACCCTTAAATTTATAAAAAAAATTTACACTTTTACCTTAAGTATTTTTTTCAGAATATACGTATTCATGTAGAAAAATCATATTTAAATACGAAAAAATGTTTAATTAAATATTGTATTTATATTTTTTAATGTTATATATAATATATATATATATATATATATATATATATATATATATATATATATATATATATATATATATGTTTGTTTGTGTTTGCAAGGTTATACCATTTAAAAAGATAAATAATATTTTTAGAATTATGAATACGTGTTTTATAGATATAGTTTTTAGAAGTATAAATACATATTTTTACATTATTATATATAAATATGTATATACTTCTAAAAATATATTTATACTTAAAAAAAACATATATCAAAATACATATTTACACTTCTAAGATTATATGTATATACTTATATAAACATGTTTATGATTCAACAAGTTTTTTTATTGATATGTATATTTTTAAATGCATAAAAATATACACTTGTAGTTCTAAAAACATATTAATTTGCATTTTTTTTACATCTTAAATGGTTTATCCAAGAACCCCCCCCCCACCCCCCCCAACACACACACACAGATATATTATATATATATATATATATATATATATATAATATATATATATATATATATATATATAATAACATTAAAAAAATGTAAATACAATACTTAATTAAAAAAAATTTGTATATAAATATAAATTTTCTGCATGAATACATATAATATGAAAAAAAATACAAAGGGTAAAAGTGTAAAAAAAAATATAAATTTAAGGGTAAAAACATAAAAAACTATAAACTTAAGGGGTTTTTTTTTTTTGCGAAGCTAATATAATGGTAACCTATTATCACCGGTAAAAGGGTAAAACCGAACATTTTTTGGAAAATGTTAGGGTAAAAACGGACATAAAATTCAACTTTGGGCAAAACCAATAAAACCCTGAAAACTTGAGGGTTTTTATGACATTAGCCCTTTCTATTTCCTATTGTGAATTTGTGATACTTGATACCCAAAGTTCTTTAATTCAACTATTTAATCATTTGTTTTTCAAATATGGCAATCTGCAAACAACACTGGAATAAACTTCTTAAAAAAAAAAAAAAAAAAAAAAAAAGACAGGAAAGTAGCAAGGAGTTTGATAAGATTTCATATAAATTAATGTCTTGACAAATTTATAAAAAGAAACCCCCCTTAAATCATTACTCGCCTCGTATCACTTTTCTACTAAAGTTGATGGTTTTTAGTTAAGAGAAGAAACCAAATGCCTTGTTAAAATTACAATACTATCCCTTCCTACATACTTTTTTATTATGATTTATAAATTTGTCACTGAATATATTTAGGGATTTCTCCTTTTCTCAAGAGAGATAAAGAATATTCAGCTATATCAAACAGATCTTTAATGTTGTGTATGGATCGTTCTTCAGCAGCCAACATGAAAATGGCACGTGCCTGTGCTTTCCTGTGCAATCTTGCTGCTAAATTTAATGGCAAATCAGGTGAATTTAAGCTTCTGAGTATTTGCCTATACAGAGAAAGAACCTTTCCCCTGTTTCTTGCCAGATCATCTGCAGTTGCCCAGATAAGCCCTTTCGACATTTGCCCACCAAGTGTTTGTTGAAATGTCTAAAACAAGTAAATGTACTCAAAATCCCAAGAAAACCTCATCTCAAAAGTCAATAGAATAGAGGAAGGTTATTTTGGAAAATAGTATATTATAATTATTGATCCCATATAAGTAATAGAGCTCTCTAGTAAGCATGGTATGAAAAGAACTATAACTATTTGGTTCCTCTTAAGAGATTGTAGCATCTCGAATAGCTACCTTTGTTGCTTAGTTTTTTGTTCATTTCAATCAAGCATTAGATCATATTATTGTGGTCTATTTTAGTAATTGTTGTTGTTACTACTGTTAACTGTTGTGGTGTTTTCAGATCTGTTCTTGAACATGTGAATGAAAAAAATGTTGCTAATCTAAAGAAAAAACGCACACACAACAACCGGAAATTGACTGATTAAACCAATTCAAATCCATAAACATGCACATAATGAATTCTAATCATTGCAAGTATGATATTTAAGTATTTAACTATCTTGCAAAGAAATGAAGAGATTTTTGCACCTATAATATGTTCAATAGTATACTCAATACAGCCAGGGGATTATCCAATTCAAACCTCATAAACTTTTCAGCAAAATCAACAAATAATTTCATGAAAATGTGGAGAATAATTTCAGAAATTTTGTATCAGAACATAATTCGACTCGGAAAAAAAACAGCAAAATCAGCACAGATTCCTTAATATCAGAACATAATTCGATCAAATAATTTCAGCAAAAATCAGATAATAATCGATTTCAGCAAATAATAACCCAATTTCAGCGAGAAATTGGCGATTTCAGCGTATCTGGGGGAGAGAAAAAAGGAAAACTTGAAGAACGGTACATACCTGAAGCGACCTCTGCTGTGCGACGATGGCGCCGGAGGTGTGAGAGGGTGGCGCCGGAGATGCGAAACTGGAGAGCGGATGTGGAGGAGTGGAGTGTCGGAAGTTTGAGAGAGAAGAGGGCGTCGATTAGGTTAGGGCAATTTTGGAAGCGTCTTTTTTTTTAAATACCGTTTTACATCTGATTGGTTCAGATTTTTCTTTTTTTCTTTTCTTTTTTTTTTTTTTCTAAACACAGCAAATAACATAAGATGCAAATTGAAAACTAAATAGGGAAATAAGAATGTGAAACTAAGAGAAGAGTTGATTAAATGGTAAGATATTCCGGTCTACCTAACCACTTGTTTCCAAGTTCTACTTAAGGAGGGAAATGAGAGGATACGGAGGGAAAGTGAGGGATGTCGAAGGAAAATTGTGTTCCCAAGTTTCATTACTGGAAGGAAAGTGAAGGGAGGGGAAGGATTTTGGAGTCATATTTTCTTTCCAAAATTTCCTTCCAAATTGGACGGATTTGAGAAGAAAGTGAGGGAAAAGAAATTTTCAAATTTTATTTTCTTTTTCCTCCTAACTCGGGAACACAAAAACTTAAAATTTTT